GTAGAGAGCTTCTACATCCATAGTGGCCAGGATGGTGTTTTCTGGAAGATCACCAATGGATTGTAGTTTCCTCAGGAAGTCAGTGGTGTCTCGAAGATAGCTGGGAGTACTGGTAGCTTAGGGCATGAGGAGAGAGTCCACATAGCCGGACAATCCTGCTGTCAGGGTGCCAATGCCTGAGATGATGGGACGTCCAGGTTTCCAAGGTTTATGGATCTTGGGTAGCAGATAGAATACCTCCAGTCGGGGCTCTAGGGGTGTGTGTGTGTAGATTTGTTCCTGTGCTGCTTCAGGGGGTTTCCTGAGCAGATTGTGTAGTTTCTTTTAGTAACCCTCAGTGGGATCAGAGGATAATGGCCTGTAGAATGTGGTGTCAGAGTTTTGCCTAGCAGCCTCTCGTTCATATTCCGACATATTGATGTTACAATGTCATTTTAATATCCCATTAAAATTATTTTAGGAATAGTTTTAATTTTAATCCTTTGGCAGTGCTTTGGCAAAAAAAATCAATTTATACTTCTGCATCTGAAGAAGTGAGGTTGCATCTGAAGAAGTGAGGTTCTTACCCACGAAAGCTTATGCTCCCAGTACTTCTGTTAGTCTCAAAGGTGCCACAGGACCCTCTGTTGCTTTTTACAGATTCAGACTAACACGGCTACCCCTCTGATACTTGACAATTTATGCTTGAGGCTCATGACATTCTTTTGTAGAATGGTGTTGGTTTGCTTGTTTTTGCTCATTTCTTTGATGTTGCTGCTGGCCTGTGGATGTGTTAGCTCAAAGGTGTGAGATGCAGTGATGTGGTTGTGAGTGCTGAAGTAAAGAGATGGGAGCTAAGACAGATAGTGGGTGAAATCCTGGCTTCAATGACAATTGCTCCCATTGAGTTCAGTGGGGCCAGAATTTCAACCAGAGTGTCTCCTTTCTGCACTGGGGGGACCCAGCTGGCAAACCCTGGCAGAAATCTGGGGGTGGGATATATAACCCACATGCCCCCTCCCCATGAGTCACCTCTGGAGTTGGCCAGAAGGGATCATTAGCTCATCTAATCTGACCTCCTATATAACATAACCTGTAGAATTTCACTTACCCCTGTGCTGAGTCTAATAGGTTGTATTTGATTAAAGCATTTCTTACAGAAAAGCATCCAGTCTGGATTTGAAACCATCAAGAAATGGAGAATCCACCACTTCCCTTGGTTGTTTGTTCCAATGGTTAACCGCCCTCACTGTTCGTTTGTTTTTTTAAAGCATGCCTTATGTCTAATTTGAATTTGTCTGGCATTAACTTCAAGCCATTGGGTCTTGTTATGCCTTTCTCCACTAGATTAAAGAGCCCATTAGTACTTGCTATTTCCTCCCCATGAAGGTACTTAGACACCGTAATGAAGTCACATCTTGATCTTACTTTCTCTAAACTAAAAAAAAAGCTCCTTCAGTCACTCACTGGCATTTTCTCCAGCCCTCAAATCATTTTTGTGGCTCCTTTCCAATGTTTTCAACAACCTTTTAAAAATGTTGACATCAGAACTGGACACAGCATCCCAGTATCAGTCTAATCAATTTACATTCATAAAAACACCACTGAGGAAGGCTGAAGAGGGGTGGATTGACATTTTTGATTCTTGTTGTCTTTGTCGGTTGCTCCTTATTAAGTGGCAGGACAAGCTCAACGATGGTTTGGTTTCAACAGCTTTCTTGGCACCAACACATTATTAGGATGGAAGATTTGTGAACTACAAAATGTGTTTACCAAGGAATGCTACTCAATGGTCGGTGGTTACATGGGTGCCAAAAGCTTTGGTGACGCAATGAGAATGCCAGTAATGTACATAGATTGAGAATCCAGCCAGACCATCCTAAAATCCCAGGTAGAGATTGATCTGGGTGGTGCTTGATCTGCCAGGAGGCTATGTCCATTTGGGATTTGCCATGATGCTGATAATCCCAGCACTATTTATTATACAGATGCTGCCTTTAAATTAATTTGCCCTGTTATGCTCTTTGGTGTCAGGATCTAATAAGCCACCATTTCTGGTTAGTTATGGGGATGTAATTTCAGAAAGTGCAACACCAATTACACATTGCTGAGTGATAGTTGTCATACTTTAAATTGTAAGCAAATACTCATCATTTTGGTTTTTACTTCAGTGGGTAAATTAAAGTCAACTCTCTTGGTCAGAGAAACACAATCATTCCTATTGTATCTCCGGAACTGATTTGAAAAATGACTGAGCAACACAAAAGCATCAAACCACTGGAGACATTCCCATTGGTGTGAGTTCTTAGAACTACATGTGAATGCTCAGAGTACCCACAAGTTCAAAAAATGAATAGGTTACACTTAGCAGAACCTATTCTATTAGACTCTGTGTATTTAAATACATCTTAATGTACTGGATATATTTTTGGTTTGGAGGATTTAGGTATGAATGTAATGCATTGAAACAGCAGAATATCTCATTCATAGTGCATGATCATGCCATATAAGAGCCTATTTTACTGTTCAGGAAATAAATTTAAAATTTGTGTCCAGAGAACAACATAGAACATGTCTATTCTCTCTTTTCAGGGCAGAACATCAGCAAGAGCTGTATCCTTCACCTATTTACTCGCTCTGTGAAGCACTGGAGGATCCAAACTGTAAAATAAAGAAACTAAGGTAAGAAATTGTTCCTTTCTTTTTTAAATCCCCCTTTTACTGCTGTTATCCCAGAAATTCTAGAGCCGGGCAACTCTTCACCATGGCTGCTCAGGAATTTGTTTAACTGTCCAGTCAATGGAGCAGATACTCAGTTGACATAAACTGTCATGGCTCCATTGACGTTAAGTTTCACAGCTGAGTATTTGCTGGAATACATGTGGTTTGGCTTATATGGCAGCCTAGCGGTTCAATTACATTTACCCCAGTTCCCATAGCAACAGGTGAGCAGGAGAGACAGACCTAATCAGTGTGACTGTGGGTGATTTAAGGTCAGGAAAGACTCGGGAGGTTGGAGGAAGATTTTAGGTATTTTAATCTTAGGTATTTCTAAGATGCCCGTCACCGTGGTGTCTAAACCCTGTGCAAGTCTGTTTGTTTACCATTCATGTATCCTCGTTTGATCTCATTTCTCCCTGATTCAAAGGTGGAGTTTGGTGGGGAGTAGGGGGTGGTTTCTCTCTCTCTCTCTCTTCCACTGTGATGGTTCTTGGGGCACCCAGGACTGAGAGTCACTTCATTACCTCCCCCCCCCCCGAGTCACTGAAGTTCTCAAATCATGGTTTAAAGACTTCAAGTTACAGAGGATCCACCATTTACACTAGTTTAAACCTGAAAGTGAAAAGATAAATTATTTATTAGACAAAGGAAATGCAGTAGATCTAATCTACCTAGATTTCAGTAAGGCATCTGATACAGTTCCACTTGGGAAATAATTGAATTGGAGAAGATGGGGAATAGTATGAGAATTGAAAGGTGGATAAGGAAGTGGTTAAAGGGGTGACCACAACAGGTCATACTGAAAGGTGAACTGTCAGGCTTGGGGGAGATTACTAATGGAGTTCCTCAAGGATCAGTTTTGGGACCGATCTTATTTAATATTTTTATTACTGACCTTAGCACAAAAAGTGCTAATAAAATTTACGGTGACACAAAGTTGGGAGGTAGTGCCAATATGGAGGAGGACCAGAATATCCTACAAGAAGGTGTGGATGACCTTGTAAACTAGAATAGTAGAAATGGGATGAAATTTAATTATTCAAAATGCAATGTTGGGCATTTAGGGATTAACAACAAGAATTTTTGCTATAAGCTGGGGACTTATCAGTCGGAAGTGACAGAGGAGGAAAAAGACCTGGTGTATTGGTTGATCACAGGATGACTATGAGTCGTCAATGTGATGTGACTGTGAAAAAGGCTAATGCAGTCCTAGGATGCATCTGGTGAGGTATTTCCAGTAGAGATGGACCACCCCAGCTCACCTCCACTCCACCTCCTCGCCTGAGCGGGCTTTTAGGCGCCCCCAACCACTAGGAGCCCTAGGCGGCCACCTAGTTTGCCTAAATGGTTGCACCGGCCCTGTCTGAGGGAATTCTGCGTGACTGCACACCTGCAGAAAACAGGCCCCCTGCAGAATGCCTGTGCTTCCCTGCAGAAAATGGCAGGGAAGCCGCTTGGGAATGATGGGATGACCATGAGCACAGTTTGGGGGGGATTGCACCTCCAAACAGCAGCAAGGCATGGGGGCACACACGGGGTTACCTGCTACTGCCCCCTCCTCCCCTCATTTCTGCGAGCACAGAGCTTCCCTGTCTCAGCTCTGTTGACTCTGCAGCTGAACACCGCCTCCTGGGTCCAAGTGCCAGTTATGCTCCCCCTCTGTGTGCTGGGAACCTTCCTGTTGTCTGTGCAACAGTGAGTGCCCATGGTAGGGCTGGGTAATGGGAGGCAGGGGAAATGAGGGAAGGGATGAGGGGTTGGGAGAAGAGGCAGTGGGAAAAGAAGGGGTTGAATAGGACAGGGAAATGTGGGAGTGAGAGGGGGGGGAATGGGGCAGCAGTGGGGGAGGGAGGTGAGATGGGGAAGAAAAAGGGATAGGGGAATCGAGGGGAGAAGCAGGAGCTTGGCAGCAGCTGAGGCTCCCCCATTAAGCAGGCCTATCTAACCCTCACCAGCCCTACCCCGCTACACCTGGATCACTCCGATGAGCCCCACACACCCAGACCCCCACCCCACTCATCCCCAACAGTTGCACCTGGACCCCTATACCATCAATCCCTACTCCCCAGCACCCAGACCCCCCTGCTGAGCCCCAACCACCTTCACCTGGATCCCTTGCAGAGTCCCATTGCTCTGAACCTGGAACCCCCCAATAAGCCACTGTGCATACAGAACTCCCACTGAGCCACCCGCACCCAGATTGCCCCACACAGAATCCTCTCACCCCACACCTGGATCCCCTCCACACTCAGATCCTGCTGGGCTGAGCCTGCCCACCCACACCTGGTGCACCTGGTGCTGAGGGGCAGGGCCTTGGGGTGTTTCTGGGTTAGGCCTGGCCCTTGCACTGTGTCAGGGTCAGGTGCAGCCTCACTGCCGAGTCCCTGACCTGAGGCAGGTGGGAGCTTCAGGGTGATCTCCCATTTCAATTCAGCCAGTGCCTGTGCTCCTCACTGCCATGGCAGAGCCGCATTTATTTATTGACAGACAAAATGTGCAGAATTGTAAAATATTGTGTGCAGAATTTTTAATTTTTTGGCGCAGAATTCTGTCAGGAGTAGAATATGGTGCCTGCTAGTTGAAGTGTTTGGTATGAAAGAGACAAGTTTAAAATATCAAAAGCAATTGCATAAAGCTGTATTTTGAGGTTGTCTTTGGCCAATATACTGAGGCTTAAAAAGGAGAAACATGCATATAGCCTTATTTAGTAAAAATCCATAACATGGTTACTTGAGATTTTATTAACAAGAGGGTACATGCAACAAGATATAGTTCAGTTTCATAAATATACATAAAGAACACAAAGAGAAATACAATCTCTGAAAATAATTCTCTCTGCTTCTTCTTCTCAGTCCTGGTAACCCTAGGACGGGGAGAGTTGGTCTGTGGGGCTGGTCAAGTGCCTGGTAGTGCTTCTCAGTCCTGCAGCTTCTTCAATGTGTTCAGCAACTCTGGGGTCCCACACAGTGACCTCAGTCTTATATACCCTGATTGCAGGGCTCATTGACCAGGACTACTCTCTGATTTTCTATTGAACACTTGACCCGTCAGGGCTCAGAGAGAATGGCAAGTGTGGATCTCCAGTAGGTGGTGTTGATGTACAGCTAATCTCTCCGAAGCTTTTCTTAGTCAGAGGGATCTTATATTTCATTCATTTCACAGATTGTATTTCATTATTAGCCCAGACTCTCAATTGAAATTTCTCCCCTTTAAGGAATTTCTGGTTAGGTGCTTTTCTCCTCCATTTCTACCACTTCTGTAGTATAATAATAGTTTAGAAAGGAAACAACATTCTGTGGTTATATCTAATACCTTTCATGTCACATCTTTCAGGACATACAGTAAAATATGAGGCATGACATGGGAGGAACAAGACAGATTAGTGAGAGATGGACGTATCTGATTCCTAGGGTACATAAATGTTGAGCATCTAATTCAGGGTGAAAGAGACAGTGAAGGAACAAAACAAATTATCTATGGTATGTTTGATTTATATGGGAGATAAATGTGCATCTTATAATTGGGATGAAAATATGTGAATTGGACTTCTTTGAGGAATCAACAGATTTGACCCATATATACATTCATCTGTTTTCTGGGTTCACAGCAGGTTATTTCTATTTAATTTAACCCAGTCGATTCTTGACCATCTCTTGATCTTGATTCACTCTCAGTCTATAATGGACCCATTTCCATTATAGGAAAGCAGGGTGTTACTCTGCATGGCAGCATTTGGGGATTCTTTTTAGCTAGGTTGGGAGGGGGAGAGAAGTTTTATCCATATGTAAATCATGCGAGATTCTTGCGTAGGTGCTTGTAGCAAGTAGGCAGCCCCTTACATGGAATAGGGCCCAGCTCTCCTGTTCCACTCCAGGTGTGCCCTAGTTTGGTGTAATGAGGAGGAGGGGACTACCCCTGGACATTATCAATGAGTTCAGAATCCTGAGAGGGAGGAGTCCAGAACCCAGAGCGGGAGCCCAGAAGCAGAACTGGGGAGAGAGCTCTGTGACGGGTTGGCTCACAGAACCCCGCTTGGGAGCTGCCACCTAATATACCAAGACTACTTCTATCCCTGTTTTCCCTGCCAGCTCAGGACTTCAGCACCCTGTCTTGCTGAGCCAGACACTTCCGTCTGCTCCAACAAAGACCAGGATCCGAATTACTTGCCCCAAAGCTGCAGATTTGCCTGAAAACAGCTCACAGAAGGGTGCTTGTCTTTAGCACTCAGATGCCCAACTCCCAATGGGGTCTAAACCCAAATAAAATCCATTTTACCCTGTATAAAGCTTATGCAGAGTAAACTCATAAATTGTTCACCCTCTATAACACTGATAGAGAGATATGCACAGTTGTTTGCTCCCCCAGGTATTAATACATACTCTGGGTTAATTAATAAGTAAAAAAGTGATTTTATTAAATACAGAAAGTAGGATTTAAGTGGTTCCAAGTAGTAACAGGCAGAACAAAGTAAGTCACCAAGCAAAATAAAATAAAATGCGCAAATCTATGTTTAATCAAACTGAATACAGATAATCTTACCCTCAGAGATGCTTCAGTAAGTTTTTTTTTCTCAGACTGGACACCTTCCAGGCCTGGGCACAATTCTTTCCCCTGGTACAGCTCTTGTTCCAGCTCAAGTGGTAACTAGGGGATTCTTCATGATGGCTCCTCTCTTCTCTCTCTTGTTCTGTTCCACCCCTTTATATATCTTTTGCATAAGGTGTGAATCCTTTGTTCCTCTGGGTTTCCAGCCCCCCCACCCACCCCCCGGAAAAGCACCAGGTTAAAGATGGATTCCAGTTCAGGTGACATGATCACATGTCACTGCAAGACTTTATTACCCAGTTGCCAGCACACAGGTATACAGGAAGACTTACAGGTAAAACACAGCCATTTGCAGACAATGGCCCTAGTTAATGGGAGTCATCAAAATTCCAAACCACCATTAATGGCCCACACTT